CTGGTCTCCAACTCCTGGGCAGGTAATCCACCCACCTCAGCCTCCCAAAGTGGGATTACAGGTGTGATCCACTGCGCCTGGCCTTTTTGTTTGTTTGTTTGTTTGTTTGTTTGTTTAAAGAGATATGGTCTATGTTGTTGGCGGAGGTGCTCTTGAACTCTTGGCTTCAAGTGATCTTCTTGCCTCACCCTCCCAAGGCATGAGCCACCAAGCCTGGCCAAGATATTTGTTAATTCATTAAAAAATACATTAGCTGGTTGTGGTTGCTTATACCTGTAATCCCCATGTTCTCTTACCGCTACAAAAAAAATTGTAAAATACATCTCATTACATGTTAACATATGTAACCTATATTTTTTTAAACTGTATTTTCCAAAACATTGTAAGATGAATGGCACTGATGTATAGTTTTGCAAACTTCTGTTTGATTTGATAGAAGATGGCTGGGTCCTTTTATCTGCTTCTGAATTCAGTCTGTCGCAACTGAAATGTGTAATATTGCAACAGACGTCTGTTGCAATATCACACTTTTATGTAGCCTTTGGAAAATTTTGCTACAGATTGTGAGAGAATGAGAATGAGAAGGACAAATAGCATTTATTATTTCATAATGATACTTACAAAAAGATTTTTAATCCTACAGAGCCTCCTAGAGAAAGCATTTGGGGACTTAAAGGGATCTCTAGACTATAGCTTGAGAATCACTATACTATGTTATCTCTTGTATTCTGATGTCTTTTACAAAAAATATTTGCCTCTTACCCACTTAAAAACTAAATTGTTAAGCCGGGCGCGGTGGCTCAAGCCTGTAATCCCAGCACTTTGGGAGGCCGAGGCGGGTGGATCACGAGGTCGAGAGATCGAGACCATCCTGGTCAACATGGTGAAACCCCGTCTCTACTAAAAATACAAAAAATTAGCTGGGCATGGTGGCGTGTGCCTGTAATCCCAGCTACTCAGGAGGCTGAGGCAGGAGAATTGCCTGAGCCCGGGAGGCGGAGGTTGCGGTGAGCCGAGATTGCGCCATTGCACTCCAGCCTGGGCAACAAGAGCGAAAATCCGTCTCAAAAAAAAAAAAAAAAAAAAAAAACTAAATTGTTTAACACATGCTTCTTTATATAAAATTATACAGAGATGCATAACATGAAAAATAGAAACCACTGTTAATTCCTTCCCTTTTCCCATGTAATCACTCTTAAGAATTACTTGTTTGTTTTTCCAGATCTTGTGTGTATGTGTTGTGTACACTTTTATAAGTGGAAGAGAAAATTTCAATGTCATGTGTGTCTTGATGAAAAAAGGTTGAGAACTTATGTAGTAGAACAATGAGCAGTAGGAATAGGAGTCAGAAATCTTGGTTGTAACCTTGCCTCTGCCACTCTGGCTGTGGGTAGACCCCTTAACTACCCCATCCGTCTCATTTCTCAGCTGAAGGCACGCCACTGCTTCAAATGCCAATGTAGTGTAGGAAGTCACTTACTCTCCCAGCACTGAATGGTTAAATGCTACGGGGGTGGGAAGATAGAATGTTATAATTAAAAATGTTTTGGGTGAGATAGAAAGAAGGGTATCTCTTGGGAAATAGATTCTTTAAGATTGTAATTGCTGTCAGCGAGAGAACTCCCACTCAGATAGATGTTAGAATTCTGCGGGACTCAAAATAATGGATTTATTTTATGCCTCTCTGGCACAGCAGTATTATACAATGTGGTTATCTTCTCGGTATTTTTGCCTTCTAATTTTATATAAGTGAACAGACAGTCCATGGAAAAAAATTGAGTATTTATGTTAAGATAAATTTAATTCAAATTCTGAAAAGTTCTGTGCTTATACAGCTTGGCGTAAGACTCACATGTATAACAAATATTTTGCTTCAGGTAACAGCTGCTTATAAAAACAGTCATCTTTGTGTTTGCTTGGCTAGGAGACAAATATGGCAAGTCCCTGAGGTATAGAATGCTGTGTTCCCAATTTACCTTTAGCATTTGGAATACATTATCTTGTGGATATAGACTTTATCTGTAGAGGTACACATTTATACAGTCATTAACAATTTAGGGCTTATGCTATGCCAGGCTCTATGCTGGGTTTTCAGACTAGTTCATTTAAAAAATCGACACATAGGGCCAGGTGTGGTGGTTCACGCCTGGAATCCCAGCACTTTGGGAGGCCAATGTAGGTGGATCACCTGAGGTCAGGAGTTCAAGACCAGCCTGGACAACATGGAGAAACCCTGTCTCTACTACAAATACAAAATTAGCCCGGTGTGGTGGCGCATGCCTGTAATCCCAGCTACTGGGGAAGCTGAAGCAGGAGAATGGCTTGAACCTGGGAGGCAGAGGTTGCAGTGAGCCAAGATTGTGTCACTGTACTCCAGCCTGGGCAACAAGAGTGAGACTCCATCTCAAAAAAAAAAAAAAGGTTTAATTATAGTAAGAACATGAACTCTATAGTCAGGCTGCCTGTGTTCAACTACTGAATCTGTCACAAACTATCTGACTTTAGGAAAATTGCTGTACCTTTTGGCATCTGCTTCCTCATCTGTAAAATAAAGAGAATGATAGAGGCTGCTTCATCCAGTTGTTGTGAGGATTAAATTTTTTTAACTGAGATATAATTCATACAACATAAAATTATTTCAAGTACAGTTTAGTGGTATTTAATACATTCACAATGTTGTACAACCACCACCTCTATTTCATTCCAAAACATTTTGAATAGATAAAATGTGGCGCCGGGCGCGGTGGCTCAAGCCTGTAATCCCAGCACTTTGGGAGGCCGAGGTGGGTGGATCACGAGGTCGAGAGATTGAGACCATCCTGGTCAACATGGTGAAACCCCGTCTCTACTAAAAGTGCAAAAAATTAGCTGGGCATGGTGGCACGTGCCTGTAATCCCAGCTACTCAGGAGGCTGAGGCAGGAGAATTGCCTGAACCCGGGAGGCGGAGGTTGCGGTGAGCCGAGATCGCGCCATTGCTCTCCAGCCTGGGTAACAAGGGCGAAACTCCGTCTCAAAAAAAAAAAAAAGAAAAAAAAGAAAAAAAAATACTCTACGAATCTAGGTGCGGTGCCTCACACCTGGTACTCTTGCACTTTGGGAAGTTGAGGCCAGAGGATCACTTGAGGCCAGGAGTTTGAGGTCAGCCTGGGCAAATATAGTGAGACTCTTGTCTCTATAAAAAATAAAATTAGCTGGATTTGGTGACACTTATCTGTAGTCCTAAATACTTGGGATACTCAGGGAGGAAGATTGCTTGAGCCCAGGAGTTCCAGGTTGCAGTGAAGTATGATCTCTCCCCTGCAACCGAGCCCAGATGACATAGCAAGACCCTGTCTCTAAAATAATAATCAAAATATTGTTTGTAACCATTATTAGATCAGCAGTCTGAAACTTGATTTTATGCCTGCAAATCTATACCAGTGGATATGCATCTGGGTTGAGAACCATAAATCAGAATGGAAGTTTCATGCATATAGTTTCATCCCTAAGTATATGCTTATGGTTTTTTTTTTTTTTTTTTTTTTGAGACGGAGTTTCGCTCTTGTTCCCCAGGCTGGAGTGCAATGGCGCGATCTTGGCTCACCGCAACCTCCGCCTCCTGGGTTCAAGCAATTCTGCCTCAGCCTCCTGAGTAGCTGGGATTACAGGCACGTGCCACCATGCCCAGCTAATTTTTTGTATTTTTAGTAGAGATGGGGTTTCACCATGTTGACCAGGATGGTCTCGATTCTCTCGACCTCGTGATCCACCCGCCTCGGCCTCCCAAAGTGCTGGGATTACAGGCTTGAGCCACCGCGCCCGGCGCTTATGGTTTTTATGTAAGACCTTATGAGTGGAAGGACTGTTGTTTGCTTGTTTTCTCACTGATAATTTGGGTCATCATGTTGTCTTGGATGAGCTTAAAGAATTTTTAGCAAAGAGATTGTTCCTATTTAAAACACAAGCAAACCACTGTTTCAAAGAACAATATGATTCTTACATGTCCTTTTACTTTGTGGCAAATGTATTAAGCACATGAATAAAAGTATGTATCTGTTTAATGAGTGGGTATTTTGGTTTTGTGGGTTATCTGGGAGTGAGCATGGGAGCAGCAACTGACCTGTAGAAGGTGAAAAATCCATTTACCTGCTATCTAAACCCTTAAGTTTGTCATATGCAGGGAAATACTACATTTTCTTTTTCAGTATGAGAGAGAGAGAGAGAAAGAAGAGGAGTTTTCTTCTGAAAAATTAAATGCTTCTACTAAGGCATATAACTGTAGAAGCTTGAATAAGACTGATCCTAATAGATTAAAATATTGTATGTATTTATTCACTGAAAATCTGATTTGATCCATTGCTAATAATAAACTTTTATTCATTTAAAAATTGTGACTCCCAACTTGGGCAACAAAGTGAGATCCCCATCTTTACAGAAAAATTTTAAAATTAGCCAAACAAGGCCGGGCGCGGTGGCTCAAGCCTGTAATCCCAGCACTTTGGGAGGCCGAGGCGGGTGGATCACGAGGTCGAGAGATCGAGACCATCCTGGTCAATATGGTGAAACCCCGTCTCTACTAAAAATACAAAAAACTAGCTGGGCGTGGTGGCGCGTGCCTGTAATCCCAGCTACTCAGGAGGCTGAGGCAGGAGAATTGCCTGAGCCCAGGAGGCGGAGGTTGCGGTGAGCCGAGATCGCGCCATTGCACTCTAGCCTGGGTAACAAGAGCGAAACTCCGTCTCAGAAAAAAAAAAAAAAAAAAAAAAAAATTAGCCAAACATGGTGATATGCACCTGTAATCCTAATGTGGTGATATGTGCTTATATCCAACTGCTTGAGAAGCTGAGGTGGGCAGATCACTTGAGCCCAAGAGTTTGAGGCTGCTGTAAACCATGACCACGCCACTGCACTCCAGCCTGGATGACAAAGCAAGACCCTGTAAAAAAAAAAAAAAAAAAAAGTAGTGACTTATTATGTTTGTAATACTGCAGTGGCTAAAGCCTTTTTCAAACTTTTCAGGGAAGCGTGACAGCAATGACAGTGTTTTTCCCCCTGGATACAGCTAGACTTCGCCTTCAGGGTGAGTATTTATCTTTTGTAGAAATGATATTCCTATTCATTTGGTGTCAGGAAGCAAACATTTTCTCTAGTAATTTCTTTTCTTTTTTTTTTTTTTTGAGATGGAATTTTGCTCTTGTAGCCCAGGCTGGAGTGCAATGGCATGATCTTGGCTCACTGCAACCTCCGCCTCCCAAGTAGCTGAGATTACAGGAACCTCTTTTTTTTGTAGAGATGGGGTTTCACCATGTTGGCCAGCTGGTCTTGAGCTCCTGACCTCAGGTGATTGCCTGCCTCGACCTCCCAAAATGCAGGGATTACAGGCATGAGCCACTGCTCCTGGCCTCTTTTTTTTTTTTTTTTTTTTTTTTTTCAAATGTATGTGTGATTTTATTTTTTGGAGGGATAGGATCAAGGAGGAACAAGTTTTGACTGAGAAATGAGCTTTTCAGCTGAAACTATATCCCAAATGTTTGAAATAAGTTGTGGAAGAGGGAGAAGATAGACACCTGGTAGACTGGGACCTAAAGTTGCCACCTCCTTTCCCACTCTAGAGGCCCCATGACTTCCTCTTCCAGATTACAGTAGGGAAGGAAGCTTTCACTTTATTCTGCCCATTGATGATCTGAAAGAGGCAGTTGGGGAAAAGACTCCGAGGAACCAAGGGTGCACATCAGGCCATGTTACTTTCTCTCTCTGGATGAGTTCTCTAAGACCCAGGGTAAAGGGTGGACTGTAGCTCTGTGGACTCGACTTGCTGCCAGACCTTTTCCAGAGGTTTTTGCCCAGTTGTAGCTGACAACTGATGAAAAGACAGTCAAAGATCAAGGCTTCAAAGATCAGCCCCTTCAAATTTCCAGAACAGGCGTGGTTGCATCAGAACTGAGCAGATGGCTTTTGAACTCATTCCTTAGGTGAGCTGCATGTGGTTTTCTCCACAGACTCTGTGAAGCCACAGTCTGGGATGGTTTTAGCCTAGAAATGACAATGGGAAGTGCCCCCTTCTATGCAGATCTGAGGTGTTAGGACCGCTGTTCTTCTCAGGGCACAAAGGCAGAGCTTCCTCTGTCTGCATCCCTTGTGGAGGTTCCAGGTCAGGGCGGGAAAGCTGGAGGTACCCATGGGGCAAAGGCTCTCTCAGATGTCCCTGTGGCCACAGCAAGAAAAACCCATGTCCATTTGTTGGCTATGAAGGGAGGAAGGGCTGGCCAGGCACACAGGCCTGGCCTGCCCCCACCCCAGTTTAGTGATTTCTGAATTAATCCGTGATTTCTGATACTATAGAGATCTACTGTTGACTTTAAATACTGCTCATGATTGTTTCCTATTTTATTTTTTATTTTTATTTTATTTTATTTTATTTATTTATTTTTTTTGAGGAGGAGTTTCGCTCTTGTTACCCAGGCTGGAGTGCAATGGCACGATCTCGGCTCACCACAACCTCCACCTCCTGGGTTCAGGCAATTCTCCTGCCTCAGCCTCCTGAGTAGCTGGGATTACAGGCACACACCACCATGCCCAGCTAATTTTTTGTATTTTTAGTAGAGACGGGGTTTCACCATGTTGACCAGGATGGTCTCGATCTCTTGACCTCGTGATCCACCCGCCTCGGCCTCCCAAAGTGCTGGGATTACAGGCTTGAGCCACCGCGCCCGGCCCTATTTTATTTTTTAAGTTATATTTTCCTTTTCTTTCCAGAAGATACCATTTTTCCTAATTAACAGAGAGTCATTCATGGATGAGTCATAGCCTTAGCCATTTTCTAATCTAAGAATCTGAGTGGGTTCGCGTTAATAATTTTGAATCGCTACAATCCTTTTCTAAGAAGCCATATGACTTTTTTTTTTTTTTTTTTTTTTTTTTTGAGACGGAGTTTTGCTCTTGTTACCCAGGCTGGAGTGCAATGGCGCGATCTCCGCTCACCGCAACCTCCGCCTCCTGGGTTCAGGCAATTCTCCTGCCTCAGCCTTCTGAGTAGCTGGGATTACAGGCACGTGCCACCATGCCCAGCTAATTTTTCGTATTTTTAGTAGAGACGGGGTTTCACCATATTGACTAGGATGGTCTCGATCTCTCGACCTCGTGATCCACCCGCCTCGGCCTCCCAAAGTGCTGGGATTACAGGCTTGAGCCACCGCGCCCGGCCAGCCATATGACTTTTTTAAGGCACACGGTGGAGAGTTTTTTGAGGGAGTTAGATGGTCGCAAAAGAACAGACAGAATAGGAACATAATGGAGCCAAATACTGCCATTGCTAATGCAGACATGTAGTCCTAACTGCCTCTGCAGCTTTATAGGACTCTACAACTCACTGTGATTCTTGTTTGTTTTTTCTTCAGATTTGTTCAACTTGAGATTGTAAACCTATGCCAGAACTTGCTTGAAGAGATGAATAAGGTTAACTTTGAATAGCAATTCAGAGGTTAAATCCTTTATGCCTACTATTTTTGGTTAATTTTAGAGTTTTTGGATAAATAATTTTATATAATCAAAAGACAAAATATATAAAAAGGTATACAGTGCAGAAAAATGCTCATTTAGTCTGCCCCGTCTCCCTTTCCTCTTCACTGCAGGTAACATGTTTACTAGTTGCTTGAATAGCCTTGCAGACTTTCTTTATAGGATAACAAACGAATAAGAATATATAGTCTTAGTTTTCTCCCTTTCTTACACAAAAAGCATACTTTACATGCTGTCCTATACTTCGAACTTTTCATTTAACAATATGTTTTAGATGCCTTCCATATTAGTACATTGGGAGCGTCTTCGTCTGTCTTACAGCTGTGGAGTGTTCCATGATGTGACCGCACCATAACCTGTATTACCCTTCCTCTGTTGTAGATTCTTGGGTTGTTTCCACCCTTTTGTTATTACAGAAATGATGTAAGAATAGATTTGTTCCTATATCACGTTGTTTTTGTGAATTCTATGATATAAATTCCCAGATACAGGATTACTGCATTAAAGGGTAGTTGTGTTTTTGTGTTTGTAATTTTGATGGTTATTGCCAGATTGCTTCTTTTTTTTGAAACAGAGTCTCACTGTGTTGCACAGGCTGGAGTGCAGTGGCTCAATCTCCGCTCACTCCAACCTCTGCCTCTTGGGTTCAAGTGATTCTTCTGTCTCAGCCTCCCAAGTAGCTGGGATTATAGGCACCCGCCACCATGCCAGGCTAATTTTTGTATTTTTAGTAGAGACGGGGTTTCACCATGTTGGCCAGGCTGATCTCAAACTCCTGACCTCAGGTGAATGCCCAACCTTGGCCTCCCAGAGTGCTGTGATTATAGATATGAGTCACCAAGTCCAGCCTCAGATTACCTTCTGTAGGAATTTGCCAGTTTGCCATCCCACAAGCCATACTAGTACCAATTTTAATTCTTAGGAAATTTGTTAATTTGCATATTTTATGTTCTCAAATTATTTCTCAGGTATGGGTCGGAAATTTGAAGTTAATTGAGGTGAGTTTTGTTTTCAGTGAGAAGGCCAGGAAAAATAAAGTCTTAAATAAGTCTCATCCTTTTAAGGCTATGTTTTAGATTAGGGCACAACACAAGGCTAAAACCCTTTAAGAAACTTGAATTTTAATACTGGCTTTGTGGCCAACCATATCTGTCTTTCCAGCTTTTGTGTCTATAGCCTTTCCTGTAAAAGGCAGATAGTAATTTATTTCCTCTTTATAAGATGCTAAAATGAGAAAGTATATACATTAATTTGAATTAAACAAGAGAGCTTTATGAAATATAAGAAATATTTTTTTTCTGTAACATATTTTCCTTTGGAAATTAGGAATTAAATTGAAATGCTTTATGGTTCATGAGTAACAGATGAAGGCCAAGGGATATGCACATGGTCTGCACATGGAATTTAGCACATGGTCACATGGGTGGATCATTTAATTCGGGGGCAAACTAGGGAGATCAAAGGTGAGGTAAATGGCATTTCAGTGAAACTTGATTATGCTGACAATTATAGTTCTCAAAGGATTTAGTTTAAACATACACAGGCCAGGTGTGGTAGCTCATGCCTGTAATCCCAGCACTTTGGGAGGCTAAGGCGTGAGGATCTCTTGAGCCCAAGAGTTTGAGACCAGCCTGGGCAACATAGTGAGACTCCGTCTCTAAAAAAATTAAAAAATAGGTTAGGCGTGGTGGCTCACTCCTATAATCCCAGCACTTTGGGAGGCCAAGGTGGGTAGATCACCTGAGGTCAGGAGTTGGAGACCAGATTGACCAACATGGCGAAACCTCATCTCTACTAAAATACAAAAAGTAGCTAGGCTTGGTGGTGTGCACCTGTAATCTCAGCTACTTGGGAGGCTGAGACAGGAGAATCGTTTGAACACAGGAGGTGGAGGTTGCAGTGAGCTAAGATCACACCACTGCACTCCTGAATGGGTGACAGAGGAAGACTGTCTAAAAAAAAATTAATAAAAATGAAATAAACTAAACATACACTGTTTGGTTTTGTAGTTGATGAAAAAAGAAAATCCAAAACTACACACATGGTGCTCCTGGAGATCATTAAAGAAGAAGGACTGTGAGTGTGACCTCATTTCATCTTTGTTAAACAAAGCAGCTTGATAGGAGATTCCTATGTCTCTAGTAGAATTATGCTTACTTTCTATCTATTCTCATAGCACTATAATGTTGTGAATTTGTAATTGCCTGTTTTATAAGTACATAATTGTTTTCAGTTTCTTAAAGATCTGCAGTGAGCCATTTGATTCTTTTTATTTATTTTTGTACACTATATATCTTAAGCCATTTGATTCTTTTTTTTTTTTTTTTGAGACGGAGTTTCGCTCTTGTTACCCAGGCTGGAGTGCAATGGCGCGATCTCAGCTCACCGCAATCTCCGCCTCCTGGGTTCAGGCAATTCTCCTGCCTCAGCCTCCTGAGTAGCTGGGATTACAGGCACGTGCCACCATGCCCAGCTAATTTTTTAGATTTTTAGTAGAGACAGGGTTTTACCGTGTTGACCAGGATGGTCTCGATCTCTCGACCTAGTGATCCACCTGCCTCGGCCTCCCAAAGTGCTCGGATTACAGGCTTGAGCCACTGCGCCCGGCTGTTGATTCTTGATCATGGAGTCTTCCATGAAACTAAAGCATTGTTTTATACACAGTACACGGAAAAAAAGTCATAGTTGCTTAGTTCATTCTTGTCTGGTGCATTAAGACAGATTATGTACTTTTGTTTTAGCCTTTTATTTGGAAATAATTTTAAATTTACAAAAATTTGCAAAACTAAACTTAAGACAAAGAAGACAAGTATATGCTTTGCTTAGATTCATCTGTTAACATCTTCTCCGGTTTGTTTTACTGGTTGTCTCATGTTTTCTCTCTCCCACCCCCCTCCCTTCTCTCCTTCTTACACACACTATACACAATTCTTCTCTGAGTTATTTGAGAGTAAGTTACATACATCAAAGCCTTTTAGCCCCATGACATTGACACTTTTTTTTTCCTTTTCTTTTTTTTTTTTTTTTTTGAGACAGAGTTTCGCTCTTGTTACCCAGGCTGGAGTGCAATGGCACTATCTCGGCTCACCGCAACCTCCGCCTCCTAGGTTCAGGCAGTTCTCCTGTCTCAGCCTCCTGAGTAGCTGGGATTACAGGCACGCGCCACCATGCCCAGCTAATTTTTTGTATTTTTAGTAGAGACGGGGTTTCACCATGTTGACCAGGTTGGTCTCGATCTCTCGACCTCGTGATCCACCCGCTTCGGCCTCCCAAAGTGCTGGGATTACAGGCTTGAGCCACCGCGCCCGGCCACTTTTTTTTCTTTTTTACACAGAGTCTAACTCTGTCGCCCAGGCTCGAGTGCAGTGGCCTGATCTCTGCTCACTGCAATTTCTGCCTCCCGGGTTCAAGTGATTCCCTCGCCTCAGCCTCCTAAGTAGCTGGGATTATAGGCACCCACCACTGCACCTGGCTGATTGTTGTTTTTTTTAATAGAGATGGGGTTTCACCATGTTGGCCAGGCTGGTCTCCAATCCTGACCTCAGGTGATCCACCCACCTTGGCCTCCCCAAAGTGCTGGGATTACAGGCGTTAGCCCCTGTGCTGGGGCAGACATTGCCATATTTTAAAAGAATACAGTCCCTCCCAGCTGGGTGTGGTGGCTCACGCCTGTAATCCCAGCACTTTGGGAGGCTGAGGTGGGTGGATCACCTAAGGTCAGGAGTTCGAAACCAGCCTGACTGACGTGGTGAAACCCTGTCTCTACCAAAAATACAAAAAATAGCTGGGTGTGGTGGCACGTCCCTGTAATATCAGCTACTTGGGAGGCTGAGGCAGAAGAATCACTTGAACCTGGGAGGTGGAGGTTGCACTGAGCCAAGATTGCATCATTGTACTCCAGCCTAGGTAGCAAAAGTGAAGCTCTGTCTCAAAAATAAATAAAGAAAGAAAGAATACAGTCCCTCCCACTAAAAAAAAAAAAAAGGATGTTTCTCATTTTAAGTTTGGCTCACATTGTCTCATGATTCCACTGAGGTCATACATTCTTGGCTTGGTTAATACCCGGGGGATATTGTGTCCTTCTCAAGGTATCACATCTTGAGTCACATGTTGTCTACCTGCCCTTGGTTGGTTAATTATGATTTCTTTTTTTTTTTTTTTTTTTTTTGAGACGGAGTTTCGCTCTTGTTACCCAGGCTGGAGTGCAATGGCGCGATCTCGGCTCACCGCAACCTCCGCCTCCTGGGCTCAGGCAATTCTCCTGCCTCAGCCTCCTGAGTAGCTGGGATTACAGGCACGTGCCACCATGCCTAGCTAATTTTTTGTATCTTTAGTAGAGACGGGGTTTCGCCATGTTGACCAGGATGGTCTCGATCTCTCGACCTCGTGATCCACCCGCCTCAGCCTCCCAAAGTGCTGGGATTACAGGCTTGAGCCACCGCGCCCGGCTAATTATGATTTCTTAAATTTGATTTAGCTACTGTACAATTACTTTTTTATTCCCTTGTAATTATAAGCAATCTGCGGGGAAACACTTTAAAACAATACAGCCAGGTGCAGTGGCATGTGCCTGTAGTCCCAGCTACTTGGGAGGCTGAGGTGGGAGGATTCCTTGAGCCCAGGAGGATCGCTTGAGCCCAGGAGTTCTGGGCTGTAGTGTGCTATGCCGATCGGGTGTCCACACTTAGTTCGACATCAATATGGTGACCTCCTGGAAGCCAGGGACCACCTGGTTGCCTAAGGAGGGGTGAACCTGCCCAGGTTGGAAACGGAGCAGGTCAAAACTCCTGTGCTGATCAGTAGTGGGATCGTGCCTGTGAATAGCCACTGCACTCCAGCCTGGGCAACATAGCTCAATCCTGTCTCTAAAAAACAAGACAGTACAAATGTCCTGTACCTTATCAGATTTTCTCCTCTAAATTTACCATGAAGTTACAAAATGATGACTGTTCAACTGCAGCATTGCCTCCATGTTTACCAGTGTTGGCATTCTGCTATAAGCAGGACCTCCCCTTCTCCCTCATTTATTTATCTACTTAATATTGGTATAGACTCAGAAATGTCTATTTTTCATTGGTTTACAATTGATTACTGTACTTAATAATTTTGGTATTCAAATTGCCTCAGATTTGGCCTATAGGAGCTCCTGCAGTCTGGTTCCTGTGCCCTTATGAATACCCCCATCTTTTTTTTTTTTTTTTTTGGTACTTATTTTCTATAATTACTTCATTTTAACTGTTCTTGCCCTGTAGCAAAACATGAATGGTACTATATTAACTAACAGCCATGAGGAAGCTGTCTCTAACTTTATTTATATACCAATGTTACTAAAGAAAATTAAGGGAGGAAATTAATAAATCAATCAGACTTTGTATTGTTTCTTTGGTATCATTAGTGGCTAGAACAGATTTCTTAATTTGGGTATCCTTCAGAATGTGAGGTGTGTGTACAGTTTGGAGTCTCTTGTATTAATGAAGGAGTGAAACTTGAGACCATGTGAGTGATGGTCAGCCTTTCCTAGGATTTCTCTGCCCATTTCTAATTTGTCCATGACCTTTACTTTGATTATTGTGTTTTTCCCATAGCCTGGCACCATATCGAGGGTGGTTTCCAGTGATTTCCAGTCTCTGCTGCTCCAATTTTGTCTATTTCTACACTTTTAATAGCCTCAAAGCAGTCTGGGTCAAAGGTCAACGTTCTACCACTGGAAAAGATCTGGTAATTGGGTTTGTTGCAGGTAACAAGGTTTTCTGGGTATAAAATGTTTTCATATTTATCTTGCCGTTTTATATCCTCTAAGAAGTTATTTAGCCCAAAGTAATGGCTTACAAAGAATATTGTCAGTTTTCCAACTTTTAAAAAAAATTGTGTTAAAAAACACATGACATAAAATTTACCATGTTAATCATTTCAAGTGTAAGGTAAGTAGTGTTAAATATGTTCACATTGTTGTGAAACAGATCTCCAGGACTTTTTCATATTGCAGACCTGATTCCGTTCTCATTAAACTCCCCTTTTCCCTCTCCCTCAGCCTCTAGTAACTACCATCCTACTTTCAGTTTCTTAAGAATTTGACTACTTTACATACTTGATATAAGTCAAATCATACACTACTTGTTTTTTTTGTGTGTCTGGCTTATTTCACTTAGTATAATGTCTTCAACTTTCATCCATGCCATATAGCATGTGACATGACTTCCTTTTTTATGACTGAATAATATTCCATTACATGTATATATCACATTCTCTTTATCCATTCATCTGTTAATGGGCACCTAGGTTGCTTCCATCTCTTGGCTGTTGTGAATATTGCTATGAAAATGGGTGTGTAAATATCTCTTTGAGAGCCTGCTTTCAGTTATTTTGGATATATATCCAGAAATGGGATTCCTGGATCACTTGGAATTCTGTTTTATTTTCTCTGGAATCTCCATACTGTTTTTCATAACGTAGTAGCATTATAATCCCACCAACAGTATACAGAAGTTTCCATTTTTCCACATTCTCACTAACACTTATTTTCTGTTTCTTTTTTTTTTGAGACGGAGTTTCACTCTTGTTACCCAGGCTGGAGTGCAATGGCGCCATCTCGGCTCACCGCAACCTCCGCCTCCTGGGTTCAGGCAATTCTCCTGCCTCAGCCTCCTGAGTAGCTGGGATTACAGGCATGCGCCACCATGCCCAGCTAATTTTTTGTGTTTTTAGAAGAGACGGGGTTTCACCATGTTGACCAGGATGGTCTCGATCTCTTGACCTCGTGATCCACCCGCCTCGGCCTCCCAAAGTGCTGGGATTACAGGCTTGAGCCACCGCGCCCGGCTATTTTCTGTTTTAGGATAGTAGCCAACCTAATGGGTGTGATGTGATATCTTACTGTGTTTTTTTTTGTTGTTTTCTTTTTTTTTTTGAGATGGAGTTTCGCTCTTGTTACCCAGGCTGGAGTGCAATGGCGCGATCTTGGCTCACTGCAACCTCTGCCTCCTGGGTTCAGGCAATTCTCCTGCCTCAGCCTCCCGAGTAGCTGGGATTACAGGTACGCGCCACCATGTCCAGCTAATTTTTTGTATTTTTAGTAGAGACGGGGTTTCACCATGTTGACGAGGATGGTCTCCATCTCTTGACCTCGTGATCCACCCGCCTTGGCCTCCCAAAGTGCTGGGATTACAGGCTTGAGCCACCGCGCCTGGCCCTTACTGTGGTTTTGATTTGCATTTCTCTGATGATTAGTGATGTTGAACATCTTTTCATATGTTTGTTGGCCATTTGTATATTATCTTTGCAGAAATTTCTATTCTGGTCCTTTGTCCTTTTTTTTTTTTTTTGAGACGGAGTTTCGCTCTTGTTACCCGGGCTGGAGTGCAATGGCGCGATTTCGGCTCACCGCAACCTCTGCCTCCTGGGTTCAGGCAATTCTCCTGCCTCAGCCTCCTGAGTAGCTGGGATTACAGGCATGTGCCACCATGCCCAGCTAATTTTTTTTTTGTATTTTTAGTAGAGACGGGGTTTCACCATGTTTACCAGGATGATCTCGATTTCTTGACCTCGTGATCCACCTGCCTCAGCCTCCCAAAGTGCTGGGATTATAGGCTTGAGCCACTGCGCCCAGCCCTTTGTCAATTTTTTAATCAAGTTATTAGATTTTTTATTTTGAAGTTGTAGGATTTCTTTATGTGGCATAATAAAAAATCTATGTGCCCTTTGTCTCTGGTTCCTGGCACAGTTCCTAAAACTATTGGAATTTCCTGAGTAGCAGTATCTTTTGTCATTCCTAATGAAGCCCTTTGAACTATACCTGAGTTTAGGCTAATAAGGTTACTACTGGTGGGCTCCTAGATAGCTTCAGGATGGAGGCTGGTGGCCAGAGGAACCAGCCATGTGCTTAGAGAAAAGGGGAGAGAGATTGAATTGTGGATAAATAACGGAGGATAGAAATCTAGGAGTCATCACAGGCTCTTTGTGCCTTCCCACCCTCCACATCTGCTTGGCCATCAAGAACCATTGGTCTGGCTGGGTGCAGTGGCTCACACCTGTAATCCCAGCATTTTGGGTGGCTTAGGCAGGCAGATCACAAGGTAAGGAAATCAAGACCATCCTGGTCAACATGGTGAAACCCTGTCTCTACTAAGAATATAAAAATTAGCTGGATATGGTGGCGTTTGCCTGTAATCCCAGCTACTCAGGAAGCTGAGGCAGGAGAATCGCTTGAACCAGGGAGTCAGAGGCTGCAGTGAGCCAAGATCACGCCACTACACTCCAGCCTGGTGACAGAGCAAGACTCCGTCTCCAAAAAAAGGAACCACTGGTCTGTCTCCTCAGTATCTCTTGGATCCATTTCCTCTTCTCCATATCCCTAGCCGTTTCCCCAAATCAAGCCTTATCGTTGTTCATCTGGACTATTGCACTAGTCTGATCTTGCCTTCGAGGTCTTCCTCATGAACCTGCTTTGCACAGTCTTGCAGCCTTTCTAGGAGAGTAGTTTTCCAACAGTATCACAACTCAAATAACTCAAGTTTGAGATTTGTTCACTTGGGGAAAAAATTAGAATAGTTTCTGTACAGAAAGAGCTTTTCTTTTTTCTTTCTTTTTTTTTTTTTAACAGAAATTACAACAAATGGCAATCCAGTGGCATCTTCTATACTTGAGATCAGTTATTTGTAATACCTTGATTTTAATCATTGTAGATTACTATAGTTTATATATATTTGCATTTGAAAGATTGACCCAGAGGGACTAACTCATATAACTTTCCAGGAAACTTCTAATTCATGGATATGTTGAAATTTTTTGCTTTTTATATTGTCCAAAGCTGTTATTTGCTACTGTGTCTTCCATCCCATTACCCACCAGATATAAACCACCCTGTGTTACTGTCTCTGTGTCCTGTTCGTTTCCTTTCTAACTCATACTGCAATTTATGATTACAGTAGACCTCCCCATACCTAACAGAGCTGGACTGGTACAGTAGGCAGTTAACTTTTATTTTTTACTTTTTCCACTTCTTAAAAATTTTTTTTTCAGGGCTCATGCATAATTTTTTTATTTTTCTTTGTTTTTCTGAGGGCCCAGTTTTTAAAAGTCAGTTAAAGTAACAAATACAATAAATAGCCTACTGACCTTAATTGTTGTATTTTAACTTTAAAGTTCACTCTTCTGATTTTTTTTTTTTTTTTTCTTGAGATGGTGTCTCACTTTGTCACCCAGGCTGGAATGCAGAGGCGTGATCTCGGCTGGCTGCAGCAACCTTTGCCTCCCAGGTTCAAGTTATTCTTCTGTCTCAGCCTCCTGAATATCTGGGATTACAGGCGCCTGGCACCATACCCAGCGAATTTGGCCAACATGGTGAAACTCTGTCTCTACTAAAAATACAAAAAATTAGCCCAGTGTGGTAGCAGGCACCTGTAATTCCAGCTACTCAGCAGACTGAGGCAGGAGAATCGCCTGAACCCAGGAAGTGGAGGTTGCAGTGAGCCGAGATTGCGCCACTGCACTCCAGCCTGGGCGGCAAGAGGGAAACTCCATCTCTAAATAAATAAATAAATAAATAAATAAATAAATAAATAAAATATTTTAAAAGGTAGGGAAAGAAAGAAGAAGAAAATGGTCAGGAGGCCCAGCTCCTGAGTCTTCTGGCAGCTTTTGTTGGGTCAGCAGCATCAGGGATCCCTCGCGGCGTGTCATTGGCGCTACCCCGTCCCTGGTGCGCCCCCTCGACAGGCAGAGTTCACGGCCCTTTCCCATCCCCCGCTGGTCCAGGTCCCGGCGCTGCGTTGACAGTGTCTCTGCAGGGACCGGGCCACAGCCATGCCCCAAGCGGACTGTATTATGAGGCATCTGCCCTACTCCTGCCGGGGCCAAGTGGTGCGGGGCTTCAGCTGTTGCTCCAAGCAGCTGGGCATCCTCACAGCTAATTTTCCTGAGCAAGTGGTAATCTGCCAGCTGATACATCAGGGGACGTTTATTATAGTTGGGCCAGTGTTGGAAGTGAAGATGTTCATAAGATGGTGGTGAGCATAGGATGGAACCCATGACTACCAGAATAGGAAGTCCATGGAAATGCATATCATGGATTCCTTTAAAGAGCACTTCTGTGGGGCAATCCTTAGTTTGGCCATTGTTGGCTACCTTGGACCAGAAAATAACTTTGATTCTTTAGATCACTTTTTTCAGCAATTCAGGGTGATATTGAGGAAGCTAAGAAATGGCTAGATTTACCAGAACATTTGAAACTCAAAGTAGACAAATTCTTCCAGGTTTCTTAAAGCAAAATAATGAATGGCCACTGATGAAAAATATTATTTATTCATTCACTGTTTTTTAGTGTTTCAGTGTTTATTACTATCCAGCCTCATCTTGGTTATATTTCAGAAATCAAACATTTTCCGATAGCTGTGACTTAAACAATACAATGTAGTTACCATATCATGCTTCAACTGTTAAATTAAGCCAATCATGTCATAGCACTAAAAAGATTGATTTAAAAATCAAGATTAAAAAAAATACATATTGATTAAGATGTACCACTAGGAAGGTATTACATGTGTATAAGTATGGTCAAGTCACAGGCCGGGCGCGGTGGCTCAAGCCTGTAATCCCAGCACTTTGGGAGGCCGAGGCGGGTGGATCACGAGGTTGAGAGATCGAGACCATCCTGATCAACATGGTGAAACTCCGTCTCTACCAAAAATACAAAAAACTAGCTGGGCGTGGTGGCGCATGCCTGTAATCCCAGCTACTTAG